TTTGTCTTCCCAATAAGCAGTAGACCACAGTGAGGTCTGAATAAAACAATGGCACGTTTATTTTTCATAAGAGAAAGGAGGCTTTAGGAAAGTACTGTTGATTTGTTGTATCATCAGAGGTGGCCTTGGGGGATGAGAGGTGAGCCACTGAGCATTCCTGTGTCAGTCAGGGATAATGTGGATGTAGTTTGCACAAGCGTTATTCAGGTCAGGCATCTTGCGGTTCCTGGGAGACTGCTATTATTGATGTTGTAACTGTGGGTTTTTCCATTCCATTGTTTTTTTAGAAAGGATGTTGTAAAAACAGCTGGAAGGAAAGCTACCAGAGTCCAGGTGTACAGACTGGGGGGACAAGAGGGAAAAACATACTGGAAGAAAGCATGATGCTGTAGCATTTTAGTCGAGACAGGTAAGAAGACATTTTGGAGCTGAAGTTTCTTTTCCCATTTTTCAGGTTTAACTTCAGCAAAAAATAATCCAATAAAGGCGGAATGGAACTCAACCTTTTCTGCTTTCATACTAATGCCTAACCTTTCAAACTTTCATGGGCCTACTGTGACTCTTACTCCAAAGTGGGTAGCACTGCTTACCTCTATGATGTAACATACTTGTTTCACCTTTCATGGATCACATAGGTTCTCAAGAGGGAGAGGAAAAAAAGACATTTGACAAGAAGCAGATCTTTCTGTCTTAGAAAAGAGCACTCGGTATCTGTGTGTTAAGGAGCTAAAAATCTTACGGTCCCAAGCATGTGTTGCAAAATCTGGCTAAGAAAAAAAATAATCCTGAAAGCAAATCCCGAAAGGCCTGTGCCTTTCCTCATGTGCACATTTGTCAGCTGTTTAAAATGGCAGCATACTGGACTGGTGCATGAATGTGTAGGAATGGAAAACAGCAGGAGACTTCATGTCCAGTATGCCTGCAGAAATGAAGACATTAGCAGAGTGACACGTAAAGACTGCAACACACAGCTCTTACAGGGGCATGAGACCCAGTTAGCCTTGCTTCTGCTGAGCTAAGTGCCAAGTGTTATTATTTTGATGGTCAATTTTCCTGAAGGCTTTATGAACGTTTTTAGACTTGAGCCTCTGTATCTGTAGGATGCCATAGTGAATGGTAGCAATTGGAGCCTGACTGGGCATAAGAAAATCCATCTCTCCCCTATGGGCATTCTTCCTCTGAGCATGCTGATGTTATTTTAGATGTTTGGGTTTTAGATGTTTGGATTTTCCTCTCCTCTTCACTGGGTCGGTGGTGGATGCAAACAGTGTAATGCAGAGGAAACAGCTGCAAGACTTTTCCAGCCTAAGGACAGGCTGCTGCATGGGGCTTTTAATGTGGCAGTATCTGGATGAAAAGAAAATAAAAATTCATCATTTAGTTTTGAAGCATAGGCTTGGCCACAAGGCTTTTGAAGAGGGCAGGTGTCCCAATTATTGAGAGTACCAGGTTGTAGCCCATGAAGAAGCTGTGTTCACTGCAGAACAGGGGATTGCCTTTAATTAACAGAAAAGTAAAAGCAGTCAGATGTGTTCTTCTATGATGCCTTAACTATGTCATACCTTTCTAATTAGATATATAGAATAAAATACACTGATACAAGACATGCATCACTTACATGTTAGGAAAGAGAGAAAGCCAGGGGGTGCAAGGAGTGCAAAGCAGGTGGCTGTGTGCATGCATATGAGCTCCCTCAAGGGCGTAGGCAGCTGCTTTGCAAGGTGCTGTGTATGCATTGTGGGAAGCAAGAGTGATGGGCCCAGTAAAGGTGAGCCAGGATTTTCAGCTGCAAGAGCTGTGCAGTGAAAGATATTTTCTTCCTGTATGATTTGTCAAATTACTGCAGCCAGCAGATGTATGGAATGAGGAAGGAAGGTGAAGTCGCAGCTGGCTCCTGGCTGTGGAAATGTGCCCAGTGCAAAGCTGCAGGGGCTCTTTCCCTGGTAGGTTCCTGCTCTGGGGGTCTGAGTAAGTTGACAACTCATCCACCTTCTCCCATCACAGAATACAGATGATGGGGGAGACTGAAGAAGAGGGAGACAGATGCTTTTCAGTTGTGCCCACTGAATTGGCATTGAAAATGATTTTATTATTTTGAACACATTTACATGTGCAATTAATTCATATTACTGTGGCCCACCCTTCGTGGCCAAAGTAACAAACCTCAGTCAAACTCTGTCATGAAAGCACGTTGCAAAACAGTCATATGACTTGGAACCATCACTCAGTTCTACTGGGCACTTACAAATTCCAAGAGTCCCCAACTTTCTTGTGGAGGTTGAATAGGCTGTTTTCATGTTTGACAAGCTGTAAGGTGAGGTTTAGAATCATAGAATCATAGAATCGTTAGGGTTGGAAAGGACCTTAAGATCATGTAGTTCCAACCCCCCTGCCATGGGCAGGGACACCTCACACTAAACCGTATCACCCAAGGCCTCGTCTAACCTGGTCTTGAACACTGCCAGGGATGGAGCATTCACAACCTCCCTGGGCAACCCATTCCAGTGCCTCACCACCCTAACAGGAAAGAATTTCCTCCTTATATCCAACCTAAACTTCCCCTGTTTAAGTTTTAACCCGTTACCCCTTGTCCTGTCACTACAGTCCCTAATGAAGAGTCCCTCCCTAGCATCCGTATAGGCCCCCTTCAGATACTGGAAGGCTGCTATGAGGTCTCCATGCAGCCTTCTCTTCTCCAGGCTGAACAGCCCCAACTTTCTCAGCCTGTCTTCATACAGGAGGTGCTCCAGTCCCCTGATCATCCTGGTGGCCCTCCTCTGGACTTGCTCCAACAGTTCCATGTCCTTTTTATGTTGAGGACACCAGAACTGCACACAATACTCCAGGTGAGGTCTCATAAGGGCAGAGTAGAGGGGCAGGATCACCTCCTGTGACCTACTGGTCACTCTCCTTTTGATGCAGCCCAGGATACAGTTGGCTTTCTGAGCTGCAAGCGCACACTGCAGCTGGCTCATGTTCATTTTCTCATCAACCAACACCCCCAAGTCCTTCTCCGCAGGGCTGCTTTGAATCTCTTCTCTGCTCAACCTGTTGTTTCATGTGAACAAAGTATTTTGCCTGTCTTGTCTTAATCACTGAGATGGTAGAATTAAGGTAATCTTACAATTTTCTCCTTATGTACAGTGAAGCGTCACATAAAAATCCAAAAAGCTTTTATATCTATGTAGGAAAAGAGAAGAAACTATGAGCCAATAGTCTCACTCAGAACCAGCACAGCACAGACAATACATGAAAAACACTAATATAAGAAGTTTTATATTCTCTATATTACTGATAGACATTCACCTGCATAGATTACTGGTTTGATTCTCTGCAAAGACCAAATATAATTTTGAGACTATTTGACAGGATAGGGTTAAGTTCAAAGTGGGTTTATGTCACTAAGATTATCTTTCATTCCTTTTCATCCCCTTCCTCCAGCTTAGCCAAGACAATTTTTCCCCCTCTGGATTTTGCTTGGGAAATAAGTGCTATTTTACTTGATATTAGCTAACTCATGTTGACACTCAACTACTGAAGGTGAAATTCATACAATTTGTCTCTTCCACCATAATCTGTTTTGTAAGCCAAAGTAAGGAACATAAAGCATATAAAATATTTAGTCTTTACGATACTAAAGACTGGAACACATTGTTAACTCTTGAAATGGCCCTTCTCCTATGTTTTTTTGGGAAAGGTGAAGAAACAAATTAAGGAACAGTTTTCACTTGGATGAAAATGCACTGTGAAAAATAGCGTACTATTTCACTGGTTACTGGAAAACAATAAGCAGAGAAACATTTTTAAAACTGTGCAAAATATAACTAATGAAACAAAGTGGTTTGGCTAATTCTTTATTTTCAACATCAAATACATTGATAAAAATCTCACACCAATCGGGTTAGAGTTTTCATTTAGACTTTTTTAGAACTTTTTTAGGTGCAAAAAAAGAAAGAAAACTTCACCAAAACGAAGACATCAATAATTTTATGTGCATCAGTGAAAGAACAGAATACTTCAACGAATACATTATGGCAGCTGAGCCTATACCGAAGAAAGGTCTTCCCATTGACAGACAAAAGCACACAAAAAGCGTTAGTTTCATAGTATATACAGTAAGGTGATACATAAAGTGGCTTGTTAATGCGAGTCTCATGACCAGCAGTCTATCCCTTCATTCTCCAATGGGCACTTTCTGAAGAAACAGACTTCTAATTATAGGCACACAGGAGTAGAGAGCATACTAATTTGTCAGATGGCAGCATGTACTTTTTTTTAAATTTTTTTGAAATTTTTTCTTTAGGCACATCTGAATGCAAAAGATTTTTTTTTTGAGATTTTTTTTTTTTTCTTTTAATACAGTGCAAAACTGAATACCCTTATGGGCAACAATCACTTTGAAAACAGCTTTCAGGATATAAGGCTATCTACATTTGAAAGGTGAAAGGGAACTCCAGAGTGAACAGGTAGGTCACTAGTATCAGGGAAATACTAGTTTAAAATCCTTAGATCAATTTGAGATTACGCTATAGTAGCAGGAGACATCAAAGACTGGTTTGCATTGTGATACCATCGTTAACGTGACCCTTCTCTTACACATGTTGTATTTCTATCCGTAAAGCTATGTTACAGCTGTAGATAGCATGGAAAATAGACATCTTTTTTTCAGAGTAAGAAAAGCATTTCACATAAATTCAGCTGAGAATACCTTACATACAAAATCCCATTAGCTTTAGGTTGGGTTGCATTCTAATTTTAAAGCAGGATATTATATACACAAGAGAGGCTTGCTGTGCTCCTACCAAAGCCTGTGATAAGACTAAGGCCTCAGGCAGACTTTTTTCTTTGATGGTAGTTTGTTTCACTTTAAACATATGGCACAACTCTTAAGGAATCAGTCAGCATCAACTGGAATGAATGGAGGCTTCAGTACAAACCCTGGTTTGGCTTAAGGGTGTGGTTTGGGTTTTATTTTGGATGTTAGGGTTTTTTGTTTGGGGTTTTTCAATTTAAAGTTCAGTGACCTACTGATAATTCTTGTAATATCCTTGGGAGCTCAGTTCAGATTATTTCTTTAACTATATTTTTAAATTATTAAACCCCTCAGTGTCCAGAAGGAGAAAAAAATCAAGAGACGTCACTGAAACATAAATTTACCACAAACATGCCCCAAGAAACTCTCATTAAATTATTTTACCCCAGTACAAATCCTGCTGCCCCAGCTGGCAGCTTTACCTGAGACAAAGCCTGCAACATCAAGACATGGCTCAAACTATTGCAAACCAGAGTAGCTTTCACATATTGCTGGAAACTCAAACGCCACTAAGACATCACCCTATTTCCTCTTCTGCCTCCCAAGCTTTTTTTGTAATAATTCAGTAACAACCGGATTCTCAAGCAAAGCAAGTTCATCTGGTCTTACTTCTGTTTGGCTTGTGCTGGTAATACATTGCCTGTTTTTCAGGGGGAGGGGGGGTGTTTTTTGTTTTTTTTTTTGATGTGGGTTATTTTTTTGGTCTTTTTTTAAAAAATAATGTATAAAAATTATAAAATAATTCTTTTATTAGCTCTCTGGATACATCACTGTGAATATTTTGGTAAAAGCATAATTAGCTGCCTTGAAAAGTTTTCTTTCCTTATTCTTTTTTTTTAACATATTATATATTTTTACTTAATGTCCATCACCAGGTCTTCAGGTAGTACTGGTTTGTCAGCTGCAAATATAAAGTATATATGTATATATATATATACACGCACACATATAAAATATCATCCTGTGAAATAACAATTATTACCAATGTCAGGCACAATCGTTTGCATATACGAGAGCATAATTCAGAATTACATAGGAAAAGAATTGCCATATTTGTATCATAGACTTTGTTTAATTGGTTGAATAGCTACATTCAGCTGTCTGATATGTGGACAATCATCTTTACAGGTAACTATGGGAAGGTTACTATATTCATTAAGGTGCTGATTCAATTAAAATCTTATGAACAAGTTAAAGACACAGCTCCTAAACGAGTCCCGAGGTAAATGAATCTGTTACTGGGAAATCACTGTTTTTCTTTCCAGGGTGCCCTTCACTGTTGTCCCCACAAAAATGGGAGGACTGGTTGAATCTGAATTACTTCCTTGCAAGGGCTGAGACTAGGAAAGCATTCATAACTAAGACTGGAAGCTGACTGATTATTCCTTATGTTCCAAGACACACTATGATACCCTTCTGTCTGCTGCATACCACTTCAAATCATGCTTATCCAGCTTCACCAGGAAAAAAATGTAGTGTGGTGGTACTTCTCCTATGTAAGTACAATCAGAATCTGACCCTCTGTGTTAAGTTGTTCTCCATTAACTACTTTTTTTACCCTAGGTCCAGTTTACACTTGAATCAATGTAATGAACTGTTCTGGGATGTGGGAAGGGAGGCATTCATTTAAACCAGTTTGCCTTTCAGCTTAAGCTTGTGAGCTCGATGTGTGCGTTCTGTCATAGAGACCACCAAGTTGCACATTATTTAAAAAGCAGCTCTAGTGCTGTTGTTAGTGAGTGTGAATTATGATGGTGTAAGCATATAAATGTAACTACACGGATTCCTGTGCTCCATTGATCTTAGCCTGCACTCGTTTCAGGGCATTCACAATCTTGCTAACACCTTTGAAAAACAGCTACTAAACAAAAGAAAATGTGCATTTTCTTTCAAGGTATTTAGGAGCCCTCCAAAAGCCGTTGGTACCAAATTTGAGCGCACACACACACACACAGACACACACTCTTACTGAATACACAAAAAAGACAAATCCTTCAGCAGATTCAGAAAAAAATGACACTATAACAAGCACCAGTAAAAGGCCCATTAACTTACAGTGACTGCTTCACATGTTGAGGCTTGCGGAGTTTTCAAGGAATCTTAAACATAGGTAACATCTAGTTTTAGACTTTTAAACTGCATGTATCCTCAGATATGTACATGAAACTGTTGTTATAGACATCATTATGTACACTCAGTAAAGAATAGAGTCCTTGACTTGGAGCACAAACTTGTCCTGTGCCTTACTACAACTGCTATGTAACTCAATCTCACTATGCACAGACTCTGCTTCTGTAACAGGGAGCATGATTAGACATAGGCACTCCTGCATGGCATTAGTTCACTGTTTCCTGTATCTAGTTACTACGGGATATTCCAATCAACATAATCTAATATAAGCGTTTAAACTATAGCAGTAGAAGAAGCCTCCCTGAACCCTCCTCTAGCACTGTGGCCAGCTGCTGCAGAGCAACCTATGCATGTGCTATGAAACATCCTTATTGGCAGGGTGGTTGCTTCCAGCCAGCTATTGGGATAGTCCCTGGTCCATGTTAACTCACAAACTGCACCTGTAAACCAGAAGTGCAGATAGCACAGGCAAAGTTCTTTATTATTAGACTACCAAAATATCCCTGGTAAATGTAATAATTCCAGTACCCAGCAACATTCCCTGACATGATTAATTTGATCACAGAGACAGTCAAACAGCAGCGCCGACTCCTACTTTTTACTACATAGTATAGATTTCTTCAGTCTCTCTCCTTTCATGTCTTACTAGAAGTCTTGATGTCAGTGGACCTTTTGTATATTTACAGTTGGTCTGAAGAATCTGACTAATCCTTATGAAAAACTTACACACTTGCATGGAGAAAGCTAGGTCTACCTTCCTCGACATGCAGTCCTAGAGTCTTCACCATGTCTGAGGCCGATTGCCCAGTTCTGGTGTCACAGGTGAGCTAGCTCCTAGCAGTAATTTCTGAGCATACCCCAACAAGAACCAAAGCAAGCTAAGGCAATGCAGAGCCTGCTGCTCTGGCTGTGATGCCAGTCCTCCTGTACATGGCTAGGCCATACTTTTCTGGATGGAACCATCCCACCTGCCTGTGCCAGTTTTGCACTGGTGTGCTCACCCCTTGGTTTGTAGAACAGTAAAGCAAAAGACAGGGGGAGGTTTCATAAAATAGTGCTGGATCACATATGTGCATGAAGACAATTTGGTTTTTTAAAACCTGATGATTTCTGTAATCATCTTGTCTGATTTAAGCACAATTACCTATGTTATCGCTGTTGTTTTCACCTTGACTGACACACTGCCAAGCAACAGGGCAGTTTAGCTTTGCAGGATCAGACAAGATAGGATGCATGCAGTGCAATTTGGCTAGAGGATATGGTAAGGGAACCTAAAAGTTTGGTCAGTGTAATCTTGAGAGGGCTTTGTCTACTGATGTAAGCCAGCAATGTAAAACAGCTTTATTCTCAAACAGGGGTTCCTTTCTACTCTACAAAGAAGAGACGCAGGAATCTACCTAAGCTGCCAAAGCAGTCACTAGCAGTGTAGATGCACTATGGCACCCTAAGATGACAATCAACTTTTCATTTACACCCTCCACCACCCCTCCCAAAAAAAGTCAACCAAAATCACTACTAAACTGGTTCAAAGCTTCAAGCAAGTAAAGGATTAAGCAAGCTCAGAAGTAGGGTTGGATACTAACAAAGGCTACCTCTCATGAAGATACCAATATGCATGGATGGTATGGCCTGCTAATTTATAGTCAAATGAATGTTCAGTTTAGATTAGGACTTACCAACTTCCATGCAAAATTAAATAAAACTGATGCAAATTTTAAATCAAGTTAGCTTAACAATCCTTGCTGGCTGTCCATAGCAATGAAATGTCTTCCATTTAGGATAAGCAATCAATTTAGGCAAGTGCTTGACAAACACTCAAATGGAAAATGCAGATGACTGTTGTCACTGGAGTGTTTACACTGGTGGCACTATAGACGAAGCAAGAGCTAGGTAGCACACTGTTGGGTATCTCATACAATCACATTTGCTGACTTTTGCTTATATTGTACTCTTCACCCACTTTTTCCTCTTCTTTGCCTATATAAAAAGGCTGCACGGAATGAGATGAAGCTGAAGCAGTTGTCAGCTGGCTCCGGTTCTCCTCTTCCATCGGTGCAGCACTCCTGGCTGCTGGGGCATGCAGTCGATGAGCGTCCAGCATCTCCAGCAAGAGATCGTAGAGTGGAACTACATTTTTACATTTCATGTTATACAGGTGCTCCATTCCTTTGTTGCTGTGGGTTTTAACAAAACAAAGTTTACTTTCCAAATACGCTATAGGAAAAAAACCTATCAGCTGATAATATTTATGAGGTTCATATGAATTCCACCTTGTACAGAACTAACTTACCAGTTCAGTTGCTGTGCTCTCCTGCTACAGTTAGCAGAAGACAGCACCTTCAAAGAATATTTCAGACTGCTCATGAGCAAGTTGCCTTCTGAAGGTGGATCTTTCTCTCTCCTTTGCCTAAAACGTAGCCTAGAGCACATGGACTCCTAATTTAGGCACTGTGACCAAGAAAATAGGATGAATCTTTGTCATCCCCATCATAAAATCTTAATTATCAGATCTTTTTCCCATAAAATAACCTCAGCCAATTTGTTAGCAAATTCTCACTTGTAATAGTATCCATATACAAAACTATGGAAATTATTCACTTCACTGTGTATCTGGAATTTCCTTAATTGTACAAATTCTTTTTAAGTAAGAAAGCCACATGCACACACTGATTGACTTTTTCCTGAATACCTGTACACCAGCCCAGGAGGTAAAATCTGCATGTTTCATCTTTAGCAGCTCTGGTGTGGTGCTTACTCTTTTATTAATTGAAATGATGAAAATTAAAATTTGTGTAACTTTTTTTTCTGTTCATAAAAATAAAATCTATACTGCTTTTTTGCATACCATGTTGTTAACGTTCCAGCCTCTGAGCAGCTACCTTGAAAGGTAATTATGTCTGGCAGAATCACTGCTACAACTAATAAGAGTGCCTGACACCACACCTCTAATTAGCAAAGGGCACCCTCCTCTAGACTGGGATTCATCAGATCTGCATTTATTCTCACCTATAAAATACACATAATGACCCTAATCTGTTTTCTGAAGTGAACTGCAATCAAGCCACTTGTGAAAAGTGGCTACATGAAAGTGATCGTTTTATTAAATCTTATAGGAGACTAAAGTTTGCAGAACTAGGCTACTGCTGCATTATTATACTACTTAGTACTTTTGAAATAGGATAGAAGATGCACATAACATTAAAAGTAGACACTGCTTACAGCACTATCAAAACAACAAGCAAAGTAGAGGAAAACTAGAAGAAACAAATGGGGAAAACATTTACCCCTCAAACTATAATCCAATGTACTGTTTTGCACACATAGTCATACATCTTTATGAAAGTGGACATATGTATATATATTATATTTTGTAACAGCTTTACACACAGTTTGCACTCCCACCTGTGAAGGAAAAGCGTGTCTGTGTGCATTTGTGAACTTCCCTTGCATGGGACCAGTGTAAGAAGGCTAACCACATGCTTGCTCTCACCTCATGTGTCTGATGTGAGAGAGGATGAGGAGGAGCTGAGCTAGTCGTCTGTGTTGTTGCTGCAGAGAAAGACCCGACTTAGCCATTAAATGTATCAGAGTGTCTGTAATTTTGTCCAGGACACGGTGAATGTAGTCTTTCTCTTCCAGAGATTTCAAGGTGCTGGAAAGAAAAGTGTACACACCTGTAGTAGAAAGGAGAAAGAAAACAAAGCACAGACAAAAATTACTTTGATGGAGTCAGATTTGCCCAAGGTTCACCTTGTGATGGCTTCTTCAGCTGTGTTGAACCATGGGAGCTGGTGGTGTGTGAACCCTCCTGCTAGCCAGCCAGGTCATTGGTTTGAATAACCCCGGAGCACTGCAGGCAAAGCAGGAGGAAGATGATACCTCTTCCCTGTCTGGGTCCATCCAAGGTCTGGGCCAGGTGGAGGCAACACTGCAGCCTGCAGCTACACCTACCCAAAGGCTGTATTCCTCTAAGCCACTCAGCTCCGAAACCTTGAGGAAAGGGCTGTTGCCCCTTGAGAGGTCTGAGGTAAGTACTGAGCAGCCCAGGCCTTTGGCAGTTTTTACTATTTTCCCCACTCTGTAATGTTTGATTTTTGGTGATCTGATAGTCAGTCTAGAACTGTTACCACAAAACATGTAAACAAAATCAGGCTTTGCTTATTCACACTCACCTCAATAAAACCTTCCCAGCCAAGGAACAGCCTTGAAAGGTGTGCTCCTTCACCTGCAAACCCAGCTCTCCTTTAAAAGACATGTCCAAAGCAGCCTATGTAAGTTTAGCCATCTTTGCTTACTGCTGAAAGTGAGCAGCCTGAAGATCTGAACCACAAGGAAATTTTTCCAGAGATCAAAACCACTTTCAGACTCCCACTCCAACAGCCTCTCCGCATATCCTGTAAAACACTCTAACTGAGGTGTAAGAGCTTTTACCGCTACTAATTCTTGGGTGCATGAAACACATCAGCTTTGTAAATGGTAAATTCTCAACTAATTCGCATGTTTCTATCTTGAATTTGTTCAGGAAACCAACACACAGCCAGTGAGAATCAGGTCACAACAGCACTGTGCTACCAAAAGGCAGCTGTTGCATTCAGCACCAGGTTTTTTAATCTTCTCGATTGAGCCAATTACACTAAACAGGTCATATTACCAATTATCCAGTCCCAAGGCAACAAAAGCTTAAATTGTACGAACAGTAACACAATTAAACTGGCTTGATCACAGTGTGTTCAGTGCCCTGTATCTATAGTGCACTTGACAAATCCTGTGATTTAACCCTTCTGCAACAGCTTACAGAGCCAAAAAGAAATTTGGATTTTGTCCTTGAAAAAACTTGGTTTCTGGAATTACATTTCATTTTGTTTTTCTTTAAAGCATCATACATAGCACAATACACAATGCAGTTAGTGATACTAAGAAAAAAAGACACACACATGCTAGCATGGACACATACAGATATACAGACTTGTTTGTTTGTATTGTTTGTAGCCTGGGCCTATACCATTGGATTTGATGGTATAAGAATTTTTGAAGATAAGAATATTTTGCCATGCATCTGAGCAGTCAGGGAAATTGAGGGGGTTTCTACCATCTTCTTAGCATACCTAACCTTCCTCATGTCATCTTGGTACTTCGAGGACTTGACACCTAGGACTACTGTAACCTGCAAGTAGGCTTTATGAATTTGGGTCTTCTGTACTAAAAAAAAAGAAATATAAATTTGTGATTGCGAATGTCAGTGTGAGTGTCTGTGAGAGAGAGACAGAGTGAGAGAGATACTGCTTTAAAAAAAATAAAAACCAATGAAAGGGTAACTCAAACACAGCCCAACTGAAAACCGTCAGTCAGATTTCTTAATTTTGGTAATTAATGTTGCTTCTGGTTTGGTGTAGACAGATAGTACAATGGCCTCTTTTCTCATGGAGATTTTTATGGGTTTATTTCTTTTACTGAAAAGAATTCACCAAAGAGAAACAGCTCCTGGGGCTTTTCTCAGCTGACTGACTCTTAAGCACCCTCACATATTCCTACTGATAACACCAGACTGTCTAGCTTAGCAAGTGCCTGTACAGGCAAGATTCTTATATATTACTAACAAAATGCATTAGAAAGAACATTAGAAGGTAACATTAGTCTCAGAATCCTGCAGTGCCTCCAGAGCAGCTTACTTCAGCCAGAGGATGCTATTGTGCCCTTGTTTCATAACTTTGAAAACAGAAAAAGAAATAGAATCTGTTAGGAGGAATTGTTTCTCACCTTGGTATAGTCCAGAAGCTATTAAAAACTATAAATCAAAATAAAACACTCTCACAAAAATGTAGAGACTTTGGGCAATTGCCAGTCAATAACTGCCAAGAAAAATGATGTTTGGTTTTCCTTTCAGCTCCCCTAGTGGTTGCTCCTGCCCCAGGCCAATGACCAGAAATTTCCCCCAAAGAAATGCTAGCTATCCATCACATACATACACACACAAGCCGAGTTCCGCAACAAGAGTACAGAAAATTGTCTTAGCAAAGTGAAATTTAACAGTCTCAAAGGTCTTCCCAAGCTCTGAAGCTGAAAGCAAGCCTAAACAACCAGGTTGTTTTCCAGCTCTTTCAGTCAGTATTGTAAAATACAATGGGAGTGAGAAGAGAGAAAGCACCACCCTGCAAAGAAAGAAAGTTTATTGGCCTGTGCCCCTGAATCAAAGCTGTGAATAGAACAGGGTCCCTCAGGGACTGCAGTGCTACTGTGCTAGATGTTGGCATATAGCAATATAATTTTATATGTGTCATTATACATAGTGATGTTTTTATGCGTATTACTGTAGAGGGGAACACCCTTTACATCTTTGCTGTCACAATAAACCCCCACTTAAAATATCTTTACATTTATAGTTCAGGCACAAAAAGCTCTTCTGGTAACCCTGGGTTACCCTGGGCTCTTCTTCCTCTTCCACAGTGTCCCACTGCTCTGTATCTGTAGCAAGCCAAGCTGAGCTATAAACAAATTTAGCTCTGTACCATGCACTTGTGTAACCATCCAGCCCCCAAAATAAAGAAATAAATATAAGGCACAATCTAACAAGAGATGGAAAAATCAGGAGAAAAGTCACATGGAATGATGTATTAGGAGGTCTACAGGATGCATAAAATAAGCTAAATCTTTCCAGCTCTATGTATTAACCAGCTAACCAATTCGGTAAATCAGCTGCTAACGCAGATGTGACCAACATCTTCATCTTCAGAATGAAAGCCTGTTGCTTTGCCACATAGCACCACTCCTTTCAGACAGACTCAAAACATCTAGCACCATCTTGCTCTTTCATGTTTCTAGTGCTTATTTTCCAGGGGTAAGAAACAGCCCTCTATTATTGAGGTGAATGTGTTTTTCAAACATACAATTGTTGCTTTTTAGTCAAAAGATTTATTACTGCAGCTTTAGAGAGGCACCTTCTGGTTTGTTATTTAGCTAGACAACGCTGTCGTTGTTACAGACATGCTGTCGCCTTGATATCTCAGGAAAAATTTGGAAGTAGTGTAAAAGTATATTTTGCTTTATAAACAAAGCCTTCCATCTTTTCCACGTGCACTGAGTGAAGCTAAAAAAATTCACTTGCATTTTTGCCCAAGACCACATGAAAAAGTAGTGTAAAAATACTAAACATCCTTGAAAGATGTTACAAAAAAAGAGAAAATAAATGTCCAACAAAAGCAATAAACAGCACTACCTCATTTGAAGAGCCTAACAGATGTCCAAGGATGTAATAAAGAAATGTTTGTGTACACTCAGTGAATTAAATCAGCACAAAGCTTCAGAATGCGAATACAGACTGCTTTTAAATGAAATGCATCGTAATTAGTCCCATTTGTTTAATTAATCACTCGTTTAAATCATTTTGAGATCAACTGGTTTAATCATATGCATATATAATACAGATGGCATAAGGGCCAAAAAATTATTGTGTGTTTATCTGCTGTTTCTTTAGTAGATCTGTTTATACTTAAATGAGCAATCATAGAAAACAATCAGCTTAAGGGAGGTTTGGAGGTCGTCTGATTCAACCTCCTGATGACATAGCAGTAACTTCAGGGTTAGGTCAAGCTGCCCAGAGCTTTGTCCAGCTGAGCTTTGAGTATCTCTGAGGATGGAGATCCTACCAGCATTCTGGTCAACCTGTTCCAGTGCTTAACCTCTCACTGAGAAAATTTTTTGTTCTGTTCATCTACTCAGGTTCTCCCTTGCTATGGTTTGTGTTCACTGCAGCTTGTCACTTCCTCTTACACCTCTGAGAAGAGCTTAGCCCTGGCTTCTCCGTAACCTGTTTGTCAGCTGAGGACTGGAGTTAACCCTCCGTTAGCCTTCCCTTTTCCAGGATGAACAAACGTCAGCCTCTCCTTATACATCATGTACACTGTATGCTTCACAACACATATAGTATTTCATGTGTGTCCAATGCTTTACATACAGAGGTTGGCTATATTCTCTGAAGAAAAGCATCTCCAGAAGACATTTTAAAGTACCTATGCCAAACAACACTTACACAACTATTACACATATCCCAAATTATGCTACTTATCTCTGTAGTGCAATCCAGCCTCCTAATTTTGGCTTCTAAAGGGTCTGACAGTCAGAAACTCATGTCCACATTCCCACCATCTAGTAGTGAACTCCTCAGGCAGTTATAAAATTAGCTGGTTACAGGAATGCAAAAACTGAAATGTAAAATTGATTAGCTTTATGAATAAAGGCAATTGCAAGCAATACAGGCATATGTTCTGTGGCCATGTATACATACACATTAGGTTTACAGTGTACTTAGATATACACAGTGTACTGCAATAAGTGCAGCGTGCAAGCCAGAGTAATATATGATGTTTTGCATAACAGTGGTATAAATTGCTTTCAGCATGAATCTGTAACATCTTAACCCACCCCATGCCCTCTGATCTGCCACCATCAAGACTCTTGTAAAAATACCAGACTTCTGAGCATCCATGAAGTTTCATTTAATATAAAAAAAGAGGCCACACCCAAAATCAGATCATTTATCAGCTCATCAGATCAACTCTGACCTTCTACTGTATAGAGTACCACTGATTCCAACCTGCTGAATAAGAACATTGGAGAAATCAAGATCTGGTATCTCCTAGCCTCACTTATGTGCAGAAGGAAATATGACTGTGATTATAACTGATATCACTTGATTTTTTTTCTATATATATCTTTTTTCCTTAGGGGAATCGTGAAACAAAAAATCCCATTAACAAAGTGAGATGTGTTTATAAAGGATATATGGTGATGCCTGGAAAAGCTTTTTCTAAATAACAGATTTAGTTTTCTGGATCGATATTAAATACAGCAGTGGCACATCTTTCAACAGCATGGCTTGAAGTCTTCGCTTTTAAGTCATGAACATCTAATGAGGTTTATTCAAAATTCAATTCTATTTTTTCTAATTTTACTTCAATGTTTATATAAATTAATTACATGTTCTATATTTATTTAAGAGGATAATTACATTTGAACATATTAGCTAAAAATTTGGAGGAGCATCCCTTTACAGGAAGAACACTTAACTCTAGGAATATTCTAATTATCAGGACAATAAAAGGAAAATAAAATGTCAAACAGTAATTACAAATTCACATCCTGGCATCCAAAATAAGAACAGCAACCCTTCATTCCTAATACGCCAGCTGCCTGCCTCAGATGTCACTTTTTGGTAATTGATGACAATCACAAGAAAACCTGAACCACATTAATATCTCATAGAACATAAATGAAATACATTGGATTTGATTGTATAAACACATAATTTTGCTTTTTTTTTTTGCTTTTTTTTTTTTTTTTTTGGTAGACCACATCCAAGTTTCCATAAAGGAAGAAGTGTGCGATCAATAAATCAAAGTCTGCTCTGTGTTTACAGTTAGCTTGAATTTGTATTTCATGCAACTTGGGCAAGTAATCTGTTAAACCACAAGATAAAAGGGACATACAGCCCTCCACATCTGTTTTGTGTAGCGGTTGATGCTATCTACAAGTTCAAACCTACAGGAAAAGGGGAGAATGAGTGGATAAATGCTCAGTTTTGGGAAACTGGCATATTTAAGCATTAGGTAACATCTTAGCAGAAAATTGAGTCTAAAATTTTTTCTTTGGTGCCTACATTATTTAGACCTCTATCATTTCCACAAGAACACCATGGGTCTCCTTTCTGCACTTAAATTACCTGGAGTTTTTTCTCATTTCAAACAGAAAAGGATCCTCTGGTGTGCAACAGATATTTTCTGTCACATGCCTCAACTTGAATTTTCTTTTTTTCACTCATCTTGTACAGAATCAATGTCAGCTAACCTTACATATTTATATCTACACCTACACTTGCTATTTAGCCACCTATTTTTGAAGTGTACTTCAGAAGGGGACTTACAGCCCAGAAATACTTATAAATTATAAAGGAAGTGGAAGGTGATCACATCAGGTTTAGATGCCTGTATTTTAATACACACTAAACCACAATAAATGTGGCCACATTTTTGCCATGATTTCCTCTTTGTCACTGCCAAAAGGGAGGCATAGATTTACAAGCATTACCTTTGGATTCCTTTACGTGTGTCTCCAGTTACTCGGTGTCTTGTAGCCAGATCTTTAAGACCTGCCATCACCTAGTTCAAAACACTGCTCTGATCACTCCTCACATCAGCTGTACGCTGTGTATGAGCTACTTACTGCATTATGTTAGTGCATCCCGCCTATACCCACTCAAAATGTTTTCCTGATTCTATCCCTACCTGGTGGTTTTGCCTCTGTGTTGACAGCCCCACTTTCGATTGCTGCTGTCTCAAAATGAAAACGTCAGTAGTGACAACAAGCAGCATTCAACCACATGCAGGAAGCAACTGCAATTACCCAAGGCACAGCAAAGCACACCACTTACCAGAATTGAGCAGGATGATGGACTTAAGGCACACAAATTCCTCCCCTTGAAGGTTCATCATACGAAACCGAGCAGCAGTAGCCAGCAGCATGTCAAAGATTTCCACCATGCCCTCTACACATTTCCCTTGATTCCTGTGTGAATACCATCAAGGGGGAGATATTCACAGCTTTAACCTGGTGGCAGCATGAACTTTTCATTCCCCTGGATCATTCCTCTCCAATGTGATTTCATCAGTTCACTAGCTAGTACTAGACTTAATACTCTATGCTTATTTGGTGTATGTGTGATTACAAAACCCGAGTTGTGATTACAAATGCAGAGTTCCCAGTATCCCACATAAATTAATAAGTAAACGATATATGACCCCCCAAAATGTCAATTTCATAAACTCATCACCAGGGCATCACTGGGGTGGAAGGTATGAGATTGACTCAACCAAATATTTACATTGAGGAAAAGATTTGTTCAGAACTACATTTTTATTTCTTGTGTGCATGTGTTCTGTTAGCATTACTTCGATTCCTCTTCTAATTTTTTTTTTCCTTTAACTGAAATAGTCCAAATACTTTGCATCTCTCTCTCCCTAATGTTTTGTACTTTTTTCTACCTGGCCTTGAAAGCTGTAATGTTCCAGAATGCTTCTCCCATTTTTCTTAATGTCTCCTTAAAAAATAATAATTTTTCTGAATGTCTCTATTAAAAAAATATTTTTCAATGAAGTCCTACTTTCATGAGCTCAGGAAGGACTTACGAGGCCAAAATCTTGCCTGTATGACTGAGTCTGATCAAAACTAGCATTTCATTCCACAAATCAGATAACTTTTTAGATTACAGCATTAAACAAAGCTAAACCTTATGAAATTTCAGAGTGTTCACTAGTAATGGCAATTAACCTCCTCATTTTGCTCAGAATACTAGGAATTCTTGCTCACTAAATTTCATCTGGTACACAAAACCTGAAGTTCAACAATTAATGCAGATTATTTTTTGTGAAAGTTTAGCCTGCAGATTTTCTGGTCATAGCATTTTAGACTATTTATATTGCTGCCTTTTACCAAAACCTACCTATGTAGTTTTCCTTTTATTAGGACTTCCTAAGTAAAATTTTATCATGTAAGACAATCTGATCACTTAGAGTGCTGTTTAAAGATATATTATTTTTTAGCTATACCTTTTATGAAATTTTGAAAATCATTGCTATAGGAAAATGCAAAAGAAATTTCAAATTATCAGATAGCTATTCCACTATAATTTGTAACACAAATGCAGACTGAGCATCTCCTAGTCTAACACTGACTACCAGCATAGACACACCTGCCTAAGTCCTGGTATACCACACTGTTGAGACTCTGTAGCAGTGGCAAAGCAGTCATCTTCCTTTCTATACCCTGAGAAAATTCTTTGCACTTTTCAATCACTAAATGCACTTTTCAAAACTAAAAATGAGTCAGAGAAGAAAAGAGGGTGTCTGTGAGCACTTGTGCACCAATCTTCTTTCAAGTTCAAATCCTTATTCAGCCTCTTTCGGTGCTTGAAATTAAATCTCTATCTCCCTTATCCCAGAGCAGTGCCTATAAGCCAGTGATTTTGGCATATGACAGAAGGTATTTCACCTGTTTTCAGAGATACTTAAACAAAGAGGAACAATATCGAGAAAACAAAATGAGAGCTACACCCTTAAAAAAGCCAGTAGGGTGTTGGTTAAAATACAGTTGGATTTGAAAATGCAGGCTCTCAAGCAAGATTTCCAATTGTTGTTACAACAGCATATGTCCTCTGAGTTTTCTGTGAGAAAGAGATAACCCAGCCTTGGAAATGGAAATAGTACGTAAGTATATTTAATAAGGAGGATGGGTTGTTCCTTTCCTTAGATCCCTATGGGTTACCAGGCAGCTGCCTGCTGAGCTCTCCTGAAGTGCCTCACTTAATGCCCCATTAAAGCTTAGTTTAAGGATTTAGAATTTTAGAATTACGCAGAAATTAAAAGTTTCAATGAATAATATGGCAAGTAGCCTACATTAAGAAAACCCTACATTTTCATGTCTGGTTAAGACATTTACTTGCTTCCTAAGAACCATCAAACCACTGTCAGCCAATATTCACAACAGTTCAAACTACTATATAGTCTGAACAAATTGCAAAGTTTGCATAGCTAAGACCACAATTTAAAAAAGAAATAATAAGTTATTTGTAAAATGAGACCTTTTCAAATGTCTAATGGTGACTCATACGATGGAAAAGATATTTTGACAGAAAGTAAGAATTATACCCAACTTGTTACAAAAATGGTTCAATGGACTGTAATTTAGCAGATCAATATTCCAATCAAGATCCTCTTGTTGACAAGCACAACTTCTGGACAAAAATCTGTAGTCCTCCAATACATAGTTCATACACCTGAGTCTCCATGTGCATCTATTTCCCACCAACTGAGCTCATATGGTAGATGAGAAATAAAAATGATAAAATTTAAGAGAATCTAAATACTTCCTAACCTCATTTGCCTTGCTTTCCACTGTGTGTGAAATACCAGGGTACTGTATAAGAAAAAGAAGAGTATTTCTTTAGGTAGATGTAAGAACCTTAGCTAAAATTAAATACCTAGCTTTGGTATTCCTGTGTGCAAGCAACAATTAAGAAATTCCTGTTTTATTTTCAAAGTTACACAGCAGATCCTGCTCCATTAAAATCCATAGGAACTGCAGGAGCTTAGTATCTTTGAAATAGTGGCTTCTAACCAATTTTTTTATATATATATTTAGGCTACGATACTGGTTTTCCTTGTTAACCAACAAAAACTATCTGAAATGGCAATCTCTAGCTTTCCTAAATTGCCTTCTAACTTTCTAACATGGGCTGACAGAATTATTACATCTTCATAGCTGTATGCCCAGTTGATAGGAAGGCCTCAATAACTTTCCTGGAGGACAAATTAAGCAATAGATTTGAAAATTATCCTTATCCCACCATTGCACTGTTGTCTTTGTGTACTCTCAGCTAACCGAAAATGAAACAATAAAAGCTCGTTTACTGCAAAGCTTCAGAGTGAATTCTCAAAAGGGTCCTTAACACTTGGCTGTTGGAATATGTCCAGGAAAGTTAAAGCATGTGAATGAATGTCTTCAATTACTGCATAAAAGTACTACATGTATTAACTTCAGTAAGTCTACAGAATCACAGCATCATCAAGGCTGGAAGGTAACCCAAGATGTCTTTAGTGCAACCTCCATTCAAAGCAGAATTAGCTCAATCAAGGCTTTATGCAAGTCTGGTCTTGAAAACCTCCAGGGATGGAGATTGCACAGCCTCTTTCAGCTTAATTATTTTCAACATCATGTGTTTTTTTCTTCCCTATATCCAGTAAGAACCTCCATTGTTTCAATTTATGTCTCCTGTTTCTCAGTCTTCCATTGTGCATCTTAATAAAGAACTTTGATTACCTCCTGTAGATTTTAGATTAGGCATGCTCAAAAGCCATCTCTTCCCTAAACTGTTGCTCAAGCTGAACAAATCCACTTCTTTCAGCCACAGGGCATGTGCTCCTAGCTTGGTGTCTCTCCACTAGGTTTACTGGAGTTTATTAATAGCTTTCCTGCAGGGAGGGGTGCAAAGCTGAATGTGGTATTCCAGATACGGTCTAATGACCACAAAATAAAAGCAGAATAATCAATTCCCTTGCTTTACTGCCTACGCTACCACTAATATAGCCCCAGGTACTGTTGGACTTCATTGCTGCCATTCTCAGTACTGCTGCATGCACAGATTGCTGTTCACCAGCACTCCAGGTCCTTTTCATGTAGAACTGTTCCCCAGCTATTTATGTCCCAGCTTTAACAGTAGCAGTGGGTTAAGTCTATTTACAGGTAAAGGTTCATTTCCTCTGCCTGAATTACATGAGATTCCTATCAGGCCATTCCCCCAGCCTGTCTAGGTCTATCTGTGTGGCATCTTTGCCCTTGAGCCCATCAACTGCAGCCCCTATTTTGGTGTCATCTGCAGATTCGAAGGCAGTGCATTTCATCTCCTCTTCCTGGTCATTGATAAAGTTTCCAGATTTCAGAAAGTAGAAACAGATGCACCCATCAAACCAAATCCTGGCAGTGTATTTGTTGTCTCTCTGGCTTCTTTGATCATGGTATTTCATTTGATAATGAGGCATTGCAGAGAACGAATGGTACCCACCAGACTGGGAGAGGGAAGGTCATCTTAACAAATTGTAACTTGGTGACAAAGCCTCTAAATAAGGCTTGTTTAGATGTGTTCTTAATCATAAAAGTAGGTTAGGAAACAGTGAAGGTAGGATTGAGAGAAAGCTGCAGGGAGAACTTTCACATCTTCGGTTAAAAGGGAGTGTTGTTACAAACTGTCTGACCAAGAGTATAAAGTGGATATGTCTTTCTAGAAATAACTTATTATTAATTATTATTATTATTATATTCTATAATATAAATAGAAGTCTCCCAATCACTGGTCTATAGTCTTGTGGAGGATATTTGCATAGATAGACTGCAATCATTGGCTGGAAGGTCAACATAGCATTGTGCAAGTAATCCAGGAGTTTCTGAACTGTGTTGATGATAACTTCCCAATGCAAACAGCACAGTGGCCAACCAAGGGCAATGCTCTATTGACCCACTCCTCACAAACAATGAGAAATTGCTGGTGAATGTGGTCACAGATAGGAAATTTGGCTGTAGCAACCATGAGATGTGATTGAACTCAGGATCTACATTTAGACTTGAAATGCAAACAGCAGAACTATAACCCTGGGTTTCAGAAGAATAGATTGCAGTTTATATAGGGATTTTTTTTTGCAGAATATTCTTGGAGGCATGATGGAGAAAAGTGTCAAGCGAAGTAGCAATATTTTAAGGAAAACTTTAGAGAGCTCAGGAACAAGCTCATCCCATCATAGAGGAAGACAAGGTATTTCAACAGGAGATCCACTTGGCTAAACAAAGAGTCCCTTATTGAACTAAAAGGCAGAAGAACATATAAGAAATATAAATAAAAGCAGGCATCAAAGGAGGAATACCAAAACACTGTGAACGTTTGCCTGAAACTAGGGAGGGCCACAGGGGGTATTAAGAAGGGATTTTACAAGTATGACAGTAACAAATGTGATTTCAGT